GACATTTTTCTCAAAGGGAAAAGTAGGTTTTGCCGTGGGCCAGTCCCGCAGTCCTTTTTTCTTTCTAAAGAAACTGCGTTTTTTGGTGAGTGACCACTTGAAACATATTTAGGAGGAGTGCAATACGCAACAAATCAGGCAATTTTAAAATTACATTCTCCAGAGTTTAAATCTTACGTCATTTATGAAACATTTAGCTCTTGACGTTCCTGGAACATGTGAAAAACCTTAATTGTAATGGCGCAGGTTCCTGACCATTTCTTAGGCAAACTGCGTTGTGCACGAGATCAACCACTAAGGGATCATCTGTTCGGAAAAGATGTCTTTTGGAGGGCAGATTCTGAAAAAACCAAGAAAGAAAATTATACGCCCATTAGTAGATCAATGCCCAAATGTTTTTTGAAAAAAGCTGCTTTCTGCAGATTGCTACCTGGTTTTTTCCTGAAAAGAATTTTCAAAAAAGTCAGAGATCCAGTGCGCTTTCCTCTAGTTTACAACTTTTGAGATTTACGTGAGTTTCACTCTTAAATCTCTGGATATTGGAAAGGCTAATAATACATTCAAAGTCATAACTATATGACCCTTCATATTTACGTGAAGTTGGTCTAATAGCTCAAAAAAGCATTATTGCAGAAAAATATGCCCATCCCCAAATAGGCTGTTTCTAGTCGTTTACCTACCTTCGTGTTCCACTGTGAAGTCTTCTACCTCGCCTGATTCATTTACAATAGTTTCAGCATTGTCTATACTCTTCTTACCGATTTTTTAGTGGTCTAGTGCTTAATTTCAAATTTAGTGTTTTTTGAGCCTCGCAACAGTATTTTGGCGATAGAGCATACTGTAACAGGTAGTGGCTATGTTTTGTTTGAAAATATGAAGACCGTGGCTGAAATGTGGCTGTGGTTCCAGCCACCTCCTCTGAAAATTATCTTTCTTCTCTTGGAAGTACTTATGCTATTGTCCCATTATTTAACGCTGGATAACAATTTATAACACACAGTGATTTCAAGATTTGTGTCACTAGTAGTTTCTATAAACGCCAGTTGCCTCAGTCTAATGAACTTGAAAGTCAAAGGTCATGAATGAGATAAATGGGATCATGTCTAGAAAATGTACACAAGTAAGTGTTTCACAGAACCTTTTCCAACAATCCTCGTAGTTACTTTATACATTTGATCAATACCTTTATATAAACAGCTAAAACGCCATGATTATACGGGTGTTTTTGGGCAGACCCGAAGACGGTTAAGAAATCTGAGATTTATGAGTGGCGAGACTGTGTCGTGGATGAATTTGAATTTTCCAGCTTTTTAGGACTGCGACTGCAAAACATGGTCACAGTCTATTGCACCACACTCCACGGTCGGAGCTGCTTTTTGAGACGCCACAAGAATTAGAAAAATACTTCAAAACTAGAGTGTTAGCAAGAAGTGTTTAGTTGGTTCTGGAACTATCACATATCAACCGGGTTTGCCAAAAACTATGGAGAGAAGGAGAAGGTAGGTTGTCAGTAACGAAGCATATCTAAAATTGGGCACGGCTAACTGCAGTCGCACGCCTCAAATGTACTGAAGATAAAAAATTATTAGCAGTCAGCCAGTTGCGAACACACATTTGCTTCTCGCACATCAGTTCAACCGCTTAGCAGGTATTCAACGGCTTTATCTTCCTGTACAAAGAAGTAACAAATAACTATTTTAAAAAAGAAATCACTGAAAGAGAATTTGAATAGGCAGATCTGTATCGTGCGTTTATATACTCAAACCTTCTTTTTCTGATCTTTCAGGCAAGTGGTAACAAGCACTTATTTTTTTAAATTTCTGTCTACATTTTATTAATTTGTCTAGCCATGATTTTACAGCGAGTAGGCAAAAAAATTTTTAACTTTATTAAAACATTTGCTGCAAGTGCTTATACCAGTTAAGTTGTAGAAAATTAGTGCTTGCTCTGTGAACAACTGAGTGGGGCTGGTGCGCTTCAGCCTTAAGATTAATGGTAAGATCCAATGTTGAATAGCCAAGGGCAACCACGAATAAGGTCGGTAACTAAAATTCAAAGCTTACTTGCTGAATACGCACATTGCAACGTTGGCATTTAAATCCCAAATCTAACGATCAGTTCAAAACTAGCATGCATTAATGTTAAGAGTAAATGATGGAATTTGTCTGGTAACCGAGGGACAAATCCTGCCTCTAAAGTAATATTTATTTTTAGTATCGTTTTAGTTCGTTGAAAGGCAGCAGTTCAACATGGTGTCTCTTGCTCCCCCTGCTTCCAAATGTATTCTAAAGAAAAAGTTGTCTGTCGAAAATTAAGAAGTTTCAGAAGTTCTTTCATAATCCTTCAACCTTGTTCTTCGGAATCGCAAATGTATTGTTGGTTCAGTTACTGTAAGCTAAAGGGCACAAGTAAATTTGAACATTGCGCTGGATGCGAGAGACGCCACATTCCACTCTTCAGTTATTGCTGCAGTTTTAAAGTTAGCTACCAGATGTTCGAATATACTTTAAAAGAATCTTATACTTCGATTTTTTAACAAGAGCTTTGAACGCTTGGGTTACTCTTATCACCCCGTATATGTTGACATCCATTATTGCTTTGTAGTTCTCCAAACTAACGAAATCATCACACAAAGAAGCTTCAAAAGCGCCTGCGTTATTCACCTTTGCACAAAATTCTAAAAATATGCCGTGTTTACGGCGACCTAAATGTCCAATTTTATTTTTTAAACTTTACTGATCTTACTGCCAAAAGCCTAAAGACTTTACTGGAGTTTCTAGTGGTTCATTATAATGAGCGCGTACTAAATGTTTAAAATAAAATGACGCGATAATCAACAAAGGTTCCGGTGCTCATTTAATACATTCTACTACAAGAGCCAATTTTTTTGTAGAATTTGTAGCTTTTTTTCCATAAATTCCTTATTGCGAACACTGCTGTCGGAAGTAATATCCATTTAAAACGCTTCGAGGTGTCCTTTTTTTTCCTTTGAACTCTTCAATCAGTTTGTCTGCGGACTAAATTTTTCTGCATTAGAACTCAAGAAGCGGTAGCAACATTCCTTGCAAAACCCAAAAATTTTTTTTTAAACACGTGCCCCACTCTAGACGGATTTCCAAAGAGAATTAGAGCATTTATTTCGCGGTGCCTTCACTAGCCTCTCTGATTCAAAACACCTCCAACCGCTCGGTAATCTTATTCTATCTTTTATTACCAAACACCCGTTCACTCCCAAGTTTTCTAAAAGCGATTGCCCTAGCTGCTTAGTTTGAAATTATATTTGCATTTCTAGAAGATCTGCAATGAGGTAGAAGATCTGCAATTATATTTATTGCATGGCTAGTTTTTTTAGGCTATGACCCACCAAGCGAAGCGAATAAATTCCGACATGATCTACAGCTTACTTCTTGGCGATGACACCCAGCAAACACTGTCATCCCTTCGTCCAAACAATTTTCAACAAATGCTTTTCCAAAACCTGGAAAACTGCCGCAAAATGAAGTAATTAATCAACACATGACGTCGACGACCAAGAAATAATGAAGTAATTACTTTGTTAAAGAGGTATATCTTTCAGCATGTTATGTAGAAATACCAATAAAGAAAAGAAAAAGACTACTTATTTAGCTTGAGCTCTGCAGTAAGTTAAGTTAAGAGTGTTGTTTGCATACTACAAAGCTTTTAAAAAATGATCTTAATTCTTCTTTTTTAAAAACTCAGAATAGATTGAAGCAACTAATTTCAAAAACCACAGAGAATTTAAGAGTAAAAATTTTAAACACAAACAACGAACCTGAACCAGACCCAGTGATCAGCACTGCCTTTTTCCCGATGTCGTTAATCAACAGTTTGTCGACAAAA